TGCCACAGCCACCACCTTCATGGATTCCGGGATGGACTTGGCCCAGGACCGGGGAAACATTGTTTAGTGATACATGACCATGGACTTCACGCTCACTCATTGCTATCCAGTCAACGTTGACTCCCAGTGATCCCGGGGGTGTCCAAGGCTCTGTTTATGGGAATAGAAAGCCCAGTCTTTCTCCCAAGGATCTGCTGGTGGTTCCCAACTGCCCACCCCACGATCACAGTCCAAAGAGTAACCACTGTACCACCACGGTGCCTGGACTTAACAGCAAGAGCCCAGGTGCTGGAATCAGACCTCATGTGCACCTACACGGATTATAATCCATGATCTTGGGTGCAGTGCCCCTTACAAGTCTGAGTGTGGCGTCTGTGAGTTAATGATGTAAAACACTCCTCAGTGCCTGGCCAGTAAGTGTCAGCACACGGTAAACATTAGGTCGTCTGTGAGCCTAAGCGCTTAGCTCATGCACACAGCTTGTCAACGTCAGAGCAGGAACTCAAACCGCAGGTGTACCTGGCTCCATAGCCTCACTCGACCACACAGCTTGTTTCCATGAAACATCTTCAGGAATGTAGCCAAAAGGCTGCCCCCATCCACGCGCACGGCCTGACTGTGCCCACCTGGCCGGAGACAGCATCCACAGAGACCTGTCCTAAGGCACGCACTAGCCAGCCCAGCAGACAGGGGAGGTGTGTGTGGGGTGGGGGAAGGAGCTGCCATTTGCAGCTGAACCAAATACAGCTGTCTGTTGCCTCCTGAGAGATCAACCAGCTGCCAACCTCCTGCTGGTGGCTGCTATTGGACTCATCTCCCGCTCCTCCGCCCTCCCCTCGCCCCAAGTAGCTTTCACACTGCGGTTGTGCTCCTCGGGGCATGTCCGGTTATGCCAAGAGAACCACTGACTCCAGAAGCTGACTCCAATAACGGAGTCTTTCTTGAGGATGCGGGAACGGTGTGGCCTGTACCGGTCAGCAGGGAGACACGGTTCCCTGATGGGATCGTTCAGCTCCCATCTTCTAGGACTTCCCACGCGTCTGCGTCAGCAGGCAAGGACAGGCGAGTGGGAAATCGTGCACTAGCTCAGAAGTCCCACTGCGCCCATTTCAGTGGCAGAATGAGTCATCTGATCACACCGGCCGCACAGAGCAGGGAGCCACGTCTCCTTGTCCCTGAGGAGGAGGAGCTGGCTGGAGACCTGAGCGCCTGTGCCAGGCCCTTCTGGGCAGTTCCACCAAAACGCCCGAGAAGAATACGGTTCACCGTGGGCAGTCGCTGGTGGCGAACACTGTTAACTGGCTGGGCTGCTGGATGGAAGGTCGGATGTTTGAGTCCGCCCAAGAGTCAGCAGCCTGGGAGACAGGCCTGGTGGTGTGCCTCTAGGTGGTCTGTCACTGAAAACCCCACTGCCCTCAGCCCTGTGGTGATGCATGGGTGTCCCCTGAGTTTCAGTGGGCATGACCACAACTGTTTGTATTGTCATTTGGCCCTGGAGACAGCCAGAAACAGGACGTGCCTCAGAAGGACAGTTCCAAGGCTGGGTTTGCCACACTGACCGTCCGCCGTGAGCCCCAGGTTCAGACTCAGTCTCTGCTCCCTAAGCTGCCTGCTCCAAAGCCCAGGGATTTCCCCTCAGCAGGCCGCCGCTTCTCTCCCTGCCCCAGGCTCTGGGTAATTGAAATGGAGAAGGGAAGGGGGTGGGGATCAATAGCTCCCAAATCTCCGGTCAACTGCAGCTTTTGTATAGCTACCAAATCCCAGCCTTCACCCTGTCACGCAGAGCCCTTCCCCCGCCCCGGGTCCAGATGGCACCCTCCTTAGTGCCTATACTGATGGCGCGCTCTACCCTGCCCCACTGATGGCCAGGAACGGTGGCTTCCCCCATGCATGCCAGTGCCTACAGGCAATGAGGTGGCACGTCCACACAGGCGCCACACACACACACACACACACACACACCACTACAGCCCTTCTCGGTGGGATGCTTTCTCTCTCTCTCTCACACACACACACACACACACACACACACACACACCCTGCAGCCCCTTTCCCTGGTATGTTTGTTCTCTCTCTCTCTCTGTCTCTATCACACACACACACACACACACACACACTCCCTGCAGGCCCTCTCCCTGAGATATTTTCTCACACGCAGCAGCGTCACTCTCTTCCTCACTGAAATCTGACGTCTCTGTGGTACTGATTTTGGTCCCTCAGCTAGCCAGGCATGCTCTGTTCGCGCTCACATCTGCCTCCATCTGAGCCTGTGGACAGGGCGGGAATGCGCCAGCTCGCTCCATACACCAGCTGCGCTCACTGCCTCTGGTGGTCCTGCCTTGCTTGGCTGAAGGTGAAGGGTGAAGCACAGTGGGTAATGAGGGAACCCATTGCTGCTCAGCGACCCCAGCCAGGCGCTCACTCCCTTGTCTCTGCCCTCCTTGGCCTTGGCCGCTCTCAAGGTCCGCGGCCCTTTCCCAGGCCGTGCCCTCGGATCACATCCACGCGCCCAAGTTCCCATCAATAGCATACACATTGTATGAGCTGCCCTGTGAGGAGACCCTAGATGGTGCAAGTGGCTACACCTTCAGCTGCTGGCCAATGAAGCGGGAGGTTGGAGGCCACCCCAGGCACCGCAGAAGAAAGATCTGGTGATCTGCTTTCTAAAACATCAGCATTGACACCTCCGTGGAGCACCATTCCCCTCCGACACACAAGTTCAACACCTTTGGAAATTGCTCCAGTGCTGACTAGATGGCTTGGCTCCCCAAATAGGCAGAGCCTGCTCGGTTCTCTGCCAAGTCATGCTTGTTCTAAGTCTTTCATCCTCACAGCCCTTCTAGGTAGATGTCATTTTTCTTGTGCAAATGATGAAACTAAGGCTCAGGGAGGGAAGGTAGCACACTGAGTAGCAAGCTAGGAACTCCAGAGCTGGGCTTGAACCCCAAGTCCTCCAATGCTAGCATTGTAGCCTCTTCAGCATGCAACTCTTCAAAGAATTCTGGTCCATTGTAGTGTCTGGTTATTGTAGTTCAGTTTATTGTAAGGTCTCTGTCTTAATTATGTGGCACTGCCCTAAGAAACACCACAGATGGGTGGCTTTAAAAACCAGGATTTATGTTCTCATTGTTCAGGAGGCTAGATGTGAGCACATGGTTTTTGGGGAAGGCACCTTCTGCCAATTTCAGCTTGTAGTACTTGCCAGCAACCCTTGGCATCCTTGGGCTTGTAGACACTTCGGTCTCCACTACCTGCCTTCCTCTTTTGCCTGTGTCCTCCCTGGGTCCTTCTGCTCCATTGGTAACTCACAAGTGATGACGTCTGGAACCCACCCTACTCAGGTGTGACTTGGTTCACATCACGAGAAGCCACCAAACAGGACTAGATTCACAAGCACAGAGGCTCAGACTTCCGTATATGTTTTTAGAGAACGCAAGTCAGCTCATTGGATTTGGTTCTACCCTTCCCTCAGTAGCCTCATCTGTGAAGTAGGGACGGAAGTCCCCACCTGGTAGACTTGTGGGGAATTATGTCCAGGAACACTTTGCATTGTGTCTTGGACAAATCACAGCTCCAATAGACAATGGCTAGCGTCTCTAATGTTGCCTCTGTAGTTCAAGCCAAAGGGCTTTGGAGAGCGCACCATCTGGTATCTGTTGTCCTTACTTCCCACACGTCTGTCCATCCATCTGGCCCAGCCGGCAGCAATGCCCTTGCCCTGCCTGTGTCTCCAACAATCTCCTGGGCTCCACGGGCACAGGTTTATCCTCAAAGAGACATTCCCCAGCATCTTAGCCAGGAGAGGGGCTATGCAAGGTAGCTGGAGCGGAGAGTGAGGACCCTCCCAAGTAGTTAGTGACCCCAAGACTTCACTGGCAAAGCAAAGAAACAAGCACAGGGCAACCAAACTGTGTGCACATCTCCTTTAAGCATGTGAGTCAGCTGCAAGGCATTGTAAGAGGGCTGGCCCCAATCCACAAGGCCCCAACAGGGTTTGAATTCACCTCCCCACTTGCAATTGAGGAGTACAGGCCCCCTGGCAAGAACAATACCAACTAACAAGCACACACCTAGCATTCTTCTGAGGACCTCTTATATCTCCCCAAATCCCTTCTTAGATACAAAAACATCTTGCGTGGCTTATTTAATCTTCCTGACAACCATAAGCATGGCCAGTGTTGTAGCGATCAGTAAACTGCAGCACGGAGAGTTGAAGTCACTGGTCTAAGGTGACAGTAGAAGTGAGACTGTGACCTTGATCTAAGACAGTGGGGTCTTGAATGGAATCTCAGATGGGTTGCCTTTGGGGGCCATGGGAGGGGGCCATGGGGGGAGTTGTTGGCAGCTGCCATGGTGTTTCCCCGGTAAACACACGCACAATGGAACAAATTGCCACATGTGCTTGAACCCACCTTAGGGTGGATTGTGGACCCGGCCATTGTGATCCACGGGGTACTGCATGGTTTGCTTGAGTTTTGGAAATAGGATGCCTCGCATCTTCCTAGTCCATCTTGGCCTGAAAGCACCTCTGGACCTGTTCGGCATCAGAGCCACCCACAAGTTTCCGCTGAGATCCTGCTGGTGGCTGCCTATGAGGGGCATTGATTGGGCATCCACCAGAGTCTCACTCCTGGGAGCGAGGCTCAGCGAGGAGCACACCTGTTCAATTACCCCCTTGAGCAATTAATCTGGTTTTGTTTCCTTGTGCTTTTGTGCGTGTTTCTTGGCAGCTCTGCCAAGCCCGTTATCCCAGGATGGCTGGTTTCTCGCTGTTTTTGTTTAGACGGATACAACACAGGGTAGACAAGAAAATTAGGGAGGAAAAAGATTCGTTTTCGACTTTCAGAGAAACAGAAGGGCCAACCTGGAATGATGAGCTTCCCAACCCAGAACTGGTCCATTTCCAGAGGTCTCTGCCTCCCTGTGCACCTGGCTCAGAGCCCAGTGGAATCCCTGAACCCCTCAGCCCCGGCACTAAACTCTCCTCTTTCTCTGCGCAGGTAACCTGGACATCACGCCGGACGACCCCCGCTGGATCGGAGCCTGGTGGGGCGGCTTTCTGCTCTGCGGTGCCTTACTCTTCTTCTCCTCCCTCTTGATGTTCGGGTTCCCACAGTCCCTGCCCCCGCACTCAGACCCTGCCCTGGAGAGTGAGCAGGCCATGCTCCCCGAAAGAGAATACGAGAGGCCCAAGCCCAGCAACGGGGTTCTGAGGCACCCCCTGGAGCCGGACAGCAGCGCCTCCTGCTTCCAACAGCTGAGAGGTACAGGTGGCCTGGCCCCCTGGAGAAAGGGTGGGGTGGCCGGGAGGCAGGGAGGGCTAGCGATCAGGCCTGGCTTCAGGCCGCTTGGGCTTGGGGTTAGCTGCCACTGCGTTGGCCTCCCTCGACCCCATGCCCTTTCACGTGTGTTTGGCCTGACATGCTCGCCCTGCTTGACTCACTCCAAGAAGGGAGTGACCTGCATTGCTTGATAGAAATGGAAGAGAAGTAACTGCCATTTATGGAAGGATCCAGATAGCTTACCTTCTCCCCCGCAGAGACCCCCGTGGTTTGCCTGGACCCTGGCGTCTACTTATGTCAATGCCGACAGAGGGAAGGGAGCAGGTCGCCAGACCTTCCATGGGCCCCTTTTTAGTTCTTCCCTCTCACTTGGAGCACTGCAGCAGAGAGCGTTTTTTTGAAGTCACCTCCCTGTGCCCCCCTTTAAAACCCAATCAGACCCTCTGTCACAGAATCCACTCCAACTCCCAGGTTCCCTATAAAGGGTTATCAAGGTTGTGAATCTTTTTTTAAATCATTTTAGTGAGGGCCCTTACAGCTCTTATAACATTCCATACATCAGTTGTATCAAGCTGATTTGTACATGTGTTGCCATCCTCCAATACTGCTCAGCTTCTGTCAGTCACAGCCTCCCCCAGGGAGGGGTGGGCGGTGCTTCTTAACTTCCAGAGTCCTCTCCTGCAGTTAGATGTGAGAGGGTGGATCTAGGCAATCAAGGTCAAGGCTGGGCCCTGCTTCACAGGAAAACTGGGATGGGAGGAAGAGAGATGGCCATTTCTTTGCAGGGTCCCAAGTGGTTTTTACAACTCCAGCCCAGTGCTCGATGTAGACAGGGCATACTCGGAGTCTCTGCCGTGTTTCTCTATCTTGGCAGACACCTTCTCTGGAAGATGCGTGAGAATCCACCTTCAGATGCCTGTGGGCTTAGAGCTCAGTTCTGCTTTCCACTAGCTCCGGTGTCATGAACTTCTCCGTGCTTCCTTCCCACCGCTGTCAGGCCGGAGCACTTTCCCTGACAGTGTTGGCCGGTGACTCAGAGCATGGATGAAAGGGCGTTGTCCACAGGAGACATTTCAGAGTGCCTCTTGTTGTGATTGTTCTTGTTAGGTGCTCTCAGTGTGGTTCTGACACCCAGCCAACCTACTTAGAACAACAACAACAACACGCCTGGTCCTGCCCCCTCCTCGCATTCGTGACTACACTTGACCCCACTGTTGCAACCATTGTGTCAAGCCATCTCATTGAGGGGCTTCCTCGTTTTCGTTCACCATCTGCATTCCCAAGGACGGCAGCCTTCTCCAGTGGCTGGTCTACCTGAGGCCTTGGGCAAAGTGTGTGGGCTGAAATCGCTCCCGCCTCCTGTGTCAGGAGCGCTCTGTAGGTGCTGTTTCTGTGACTGGCTTGTTCCTCCTTCTGGCAGACATAGCATCTTCCATATTTCTCACCAGTTCCACCCTTGGACGCCATCAGCCTTTCTTCCTTCTTCGTTGTCCGGCTTTCACAGGCGGAGCAGGTCCTCAACTGCACCATGGCTGCGGTGAGGCTCATCTTAGTCCTGAGTGACATCTTTGCTGCTTAACTCTTTAAAGAGATCTTTGGCAGCAGATTTCCGCAGCACCGTGTGTCCTTGTGTTTCTTGATTGCTGCGCCCGTGGACATGGATTATGGATCCAAGTCAAATGAAAGCCTTCCCAACGTCAGCCATTTCTTCCTTTTGCCGTATGGCACTTATTGGTCTAGTTGTGAAGATTTTATTTTCCTAAGACGGATTGATATTCTGGCTGTGCCATCTGCATCTTGCAGGTTGTTAAGGGGTCTTCCTGAAGCCTCATTCATCTCCATATAATCCAGCTCCTTGGATGATCTGCTCAGCATGCAGATTCCAGCGTGACACACGCCTATGTAGCCCTGAAACCATCTACTGCGTCTTTGTGGGGTTCCAATGGCTGCCTCTTGGTCTGTGCATGGGGACTGCAGAAGCACAATGTGGTGCTTTGAGATTCCTGTCCTTTGCACTGTTATCCATACTTGTTATGATCCACCCAATCCGATACCTTTGCCTAGTTAATCAAACACTGATAGATAGCTTCGTGACATGCTCCGCTTTCAGCCGAGACATGCCTGATATAGCAGTGTTCCATATACTATTCTGAATCTGGATGGAATTTATAGTAGCTCCTTGTTGATAGACTATTTGATATCATCGGGGTTTTTTTTTAAATAATCTTCATCAAAATTTTACTTACACATGATATTAATGATATACTGTTTGATACTTTTTGCATTCTCTGGGATCACCTTTTTGTATGTGTGTGGAATAGGCACCACTTTAGATCTCTTTCAATCAGTTGGTCAGGTTATTGTCTGCCAAATGTCTTGTCATGGATGAGTGAGTGCTTCTAGTGTTGTATCTATTTGTTGAAACATCCCAGTTGGTATCTGTGTTAGTCGGGGTGGGCTGGAGAAACAAATTCATAGACACTCACAATTGTATAAGAAAGAGTTGTATATTCAAGAGCAGCTGAATATTGAGAAAACATCCCAGTCCAGTCCAGATCAAGTCCATAAGTCTGATATTAACTCATATGTCTGATACCAATCTATAAAGTCCTCTTCAGACTCATGAAGCACACGCAATGATGCCGAATGCAAGACGATCACAGACCCAGTGGTTGGAAAGTCTTGTGGATCCAGTGGCGGTGTAAGCATCTCAGTGCTGGCGTGGGTCTCCACTGGCTTCTCCAGCTCCCAGGGCTCTAGCTGTATCAGGGTAGGTTCATGTGGCTTCTCCTCGGGGATGTCTCTCAAGAACTGAGCACAGAGAGTGTCTCCCGCCTCCAAGGAGGAATACAGGAGCTCCCAGCATCCTCAGGAGAAAGCCAAGCCCACACAGAGACCTCATTGGCTATGACCTGATTGACAACAGATTACATAACTACCACAGTACCCCTTCGATTCCTAGAGCCCTGTGGGGTTTGCCCACACCTTCAGAAAATATGCTCCGTGAAAGAATGCCTGCCCAAGTCGGTACGCTCACTTCATGGAGCCGCCAGGAAGCTGGGGGCAGTGACTACTGCTCCTCAGTCACTTAGCTGGCCATCAAGAATATCTCAGTACCCAGACCCAAAAGAAATCAATTTGGCTGGCACAAGAGCAGGCTTTACTGGAGATACTCTGGCCTTTGGGCGACTACCTGCTCAGATCTTTCATGCTCCTGCGATGTCTAACCCTGTCCTCCTGTGGTTCTGACCCGTAAAACCTGCTCCAATAATCTCCTGTGTTTCATCTCTGGAGATTGCACGATGAAAGAGACCGCATTTTGCAATCAAATAACTCATTGCTCAAAGCAAGGACAGCCCAGCAAGCCCATGAAGACAGAAGGGGGGTAGCAGAAGGCTCTGAAGGTTTTGAAGACACAGCCAATGTGCAGAGAAGAGCACACCTTTTCTGGACCACAGTTGAGGGATGAGGGATGAATCAGCAAGGAAGCCGAGCTGAGTCTTGAGACATGTGATGACGTCGGAATGCTTGGACTGTGACTTAAGTACTTATTAACTCGTTCATTCAATTCAGTCAATAGTTACTGAGAATCTACTGGACACGGGAGGCCTAGCTGTCCCCAATGTAGCTTGTGTCCCAGTGTGGGGAGCCATGCAGTACGAACGCAGGGTCCTGGCAGCAAGGAGGTGGGGGGAGGGGGTTTGGATGTTCTGTGGGTGTGGTGTCAGGCACGCCGTGGAGTACTTGGTCTGGGACTTGCTAACCCATAAGTCATCCAAGTCGTGGCTGATATGCACTTAGTCTTTGCGTTGGATAATTAAGGATTTTAATATCGAATGGATAGTTATTAGGTCCATTAATTGGCATAAAAGCAGCACCAGCAGGAACAGAAGGCAGTGTGTCTAGAAGAATCCCCAGGAGCCTTGAGCCATTATGCAAATAGGACCCATGCAAGGGACAGAGAGGGGCTCAGGCAAGCCACATCCTTCGTTTCTCCACGTGGGACAAAGCTTTTGCCCTGTGGCACTTGTGCCCAGAGCACCATGTTGTGCTTCCTCGGGTTCCTGGACTGTACCCCATCCACAGCCTTCAGTTACCAGGTCGTGTCCAAGCAGTGAGGTTTGCACGTTATGGGACCAAAGAAGCCCACTAGACTGGCAGATAGCAGAAGAATTAACGTTGCTCTGACATTCTGTCTGCTAAAATGCTCACCTGTTGATTTGGGTTTCATCTTCAGCTGTCTATCTGTGCCCCGTGCGGTGCTCTGAGAACGGAAGTCCCCTGCAAAGAGCTAGTGTTGCCTGAGAGCAGCCACTTCACCCCATTCCCCACTGGGGCCCGGGCAGCCATCCCCTGAGACGATTCACCCCTGGTGCAGGAAGAGGCATGTGTTAGTCCAGCTAGACTAAAGAAACAAATCCACAAAAATTCATATGTGTATATGAGAGAGTTTTATATAAAGGGTAATTGTACATTAAGAAAGCATCCCAACCAGTCCAGTCCAAGCCCACAAGTCCAATATTCGTCCATATGTCCAACATCAATCTATAAAGTCCTCTTCAGACTCACAAAACACAAGCAATGACGTGGAATGCAGGATGATCACAGGCCAGTGGGTAGAGAGTCTTTGGATCCAGTGGCGTTGTAAACATCTCAGCGCTGGCAGGGGTCTCTACATGGCTTCTCCGGCTTCAGAGGTCTGGTTGCATCAGGGTAGGTCCAGGTGGCTTCTCCAGCTCAGGGCACTAGAGTAGTTCCACGTGTCTTGTCAGCAGCAATGTCTCCCAGGGAGTGAGCCAAGAGAGAATTTGTCTCCCACCTCCAAGCAGGAAAATCAGATTTCCCAGAATGCTCAGGAGAAAGCCATGCCCACACAGAGGCCTCATTGGCGATGACCAGATTGACAGACTAGACTCCACCCCTTCACTCTTAATCCGCTCAAGTCCCAACTTGACACCAGATTATGTAACTACCATAAGGCA